TGGAACAATGGGCATTTACATGAAGTGTGAGGGGGCCTAACCTGTCACCATGCTACAATGCTGTGATTGCAGCCATTCCCCGGCTCTCTGTGAACGCCACTCATGGACATTGATCAGTGGCTGTTGATGAGTGGTCGTGACAGTTTGCATATTAATGATCATAAACTGACCTGACAGCCCATTGGTCGTCAGGTGTCGGTCTTTGTGCAGATGTCCAATAAGACTGCAACCTGCAGTCAGCTGAGACTGAAGGAGTCACCCGATGAAAACGATACCTTCAAATGAACAGAATCAACCAATTTCCAGAGGCTTAACAGCCTCAGGCTGTGTGAGGCAGGTGTGATACCTGAGAGGTGTTGCAGGTGTTAGCCTTCACTGTAAGTCTCAGGATGACGTTCGAACGAGAGCCTTTAAAGCCGAGTTCGGGGGGAGACGTGAACCTCGAAGCTTTGGCTCTTTGATGAGCTCCAGTCGTGTTTTTGTTAGTGCAGGTTTTGGAAATGAAGTTGTTCCTGTGGGGGTTCTGCTCGGTCTGACCTCCTCCTTGTGTTCTCCTGCAGATCGTTCAGTTTGGGATGAACCCGAAGGTGGGCCAGGTGTCCTTCGACCTGCCGCGCCAGGGCGAGATGGTTCTGGAGAAGCCGTACAGCGAGGCCACGGCCCGCCTCATCGATACCGAGGTCAGAACCCTGATCAGCGAAGCGTACCAGAGAACACAGCAACTCCTCAACGACAAGAAGGCCGAGGTGGAGAAGGTAGGCTCAGCTGTGTTCTACGTGCCTCAGAAAGCCACTGAGTCACAAGGCTCTGGGCGGTTCTGGTTCAGTTCTGCGGAGCAGGGTCCTGCGTGCTTCTGCCCGTGATCATTCTGTGCTCACCTGTCCTCTGTGGCGTTGGCAGGTGGCGCAGCGGCTACTGGAGAAGGAGGTTCTGGATAAGAACGACATGGTGGAGCTGCTCGGCAAACGGCCCTTCGCTGAGAAGTCGACTTACGAGGAGTTCGTGGAAGGAACCGGCGGCGAGGACGAAGACACGGCGCTGCCCGAGGGTCTGAAGGACTGGAACCAGGAGAGGAGGCCGGAGCGGGAGGAGACCCCGGACGAGCAGGTGGCCCGGCAGATCTCCGGAGGAATGCCCTTCTAGAAGTTCCTCCGGGTTCTGTCCTCCTGCCGGAGAGCCTTCTGAGGCCTCCTGATGAACTTCAGCAGGGCCAGGGTGGAACCTGAAGACCTAAAGAACGTTTCCTGTGTAGAACATCGCGTATTTATTGATCCGAGACTATCGACGGCGTTCTGCTCCATCCATGAAATCACTCATCATCACCATGGTAACGTGCGGCTGGAGGCTGCTCAGAGATCAGATATTGATTAGTTGTTGCTAGCATGCTGTTTCATAATGGAATAAATGTGTAAATGTGTTTGACATGTTTAAATAAAGTCAGAGAAACTGATCGATCACCAATCACCGCTCCGTGTGATCAATAACACACACACTTCCTGTAAACACACACAGAGGAGGTAAACGAGACTGAACTGTGTGTGCACAGAGGAACCAGGTGAGGATGGGAGCAGTGTTCTCCCCCTGGTGGGACGTGCTGTAAGAATATGAGAGTACTGTCTTCATGTAGGCCTGGCTGGTAATCTGGTGGATTATGCAGCGCGATATCTGGAAGCAGTGCTGCTGTGCACCGTTTCACTAACTGAGAGGAGGGTCCAAGCCCCTCTAAACGTGAGGCTTGGTATGTCCTGGACCTGAGAGCAACGCTGCACACTTCAGGCTCAAAGTTACTCGCCGAGTGGAAAAGAGCCTTCATGGTCAAACGGCGAGTTGGTGATGTTGAGTATGAGGCGGTGCGGACAGGACGTCTTTAACAAAGTAACAATGTGATCAAAGCTTTGATGGTAGAGCTAAAGGTTTCCAAAGAAACGCGACATTTAAAGGATGGCTGGTTTGTACGAAGCAGAGCGCATCCTGCCTTTTTATTACACAGTGTGTTCAACTTCTGTTTAACAGTACTGGTTTTATTTAGCATAAACAACGCCATCGGCCCCTCTGGTGTTGGCCAGAGGGGCCGATGGCGCGATATGGCAGCCTGGCTTCTGTCAGTCTGCCGCAGGGCAGCTGTGGCTGCAACTGCAGCTGCCTCCACCAGTGTGTGAATGTGAGAGTGAATGAATAGTGGCATTGTAAAGTGCTTTGGGTCCCTTGAAAAGCGCTATATGAATCCAATCCATTACTATTATTATTATTATTATTATTATAGCCCTATCCTTGTGCCCGAGGGTTTTTGGCTCAGACTTCAGTGTGGTGATATTTTCATTGCCTGTCTTCTTCTTAAAGGAAGCAAAGGAACTGATCCTCCCTCTCAAATACGCTTTCATAGCCAATGTAGTGTCCTCTCAACCTCTTGTCCCCTTAAAAATTAGATGTCATCCCTGATCATTTTAGTAATAACAGTAAGGACACGTTCAAACGCCACCTACCACTTTTGAGAAATCCTGGTCTCAGTCTAGTATTTGGTTGAAGTCTGCGCCTACTATTGTTTGTGCACCGTGCGATTCCAAAAGAAGCTGTGATAAATGATGAAAAACGTAGGCGTGTCTGAATTGGGAGCATAAATATTACATAAAATTACTGGTGTATCTAATAATTGTCCACGTACTAGTTTATATCTACCCTCCTTATCTACTTTTGCCTCAGTGAAGTTAAGACAAAGTTTTATGAATCAGAACCGACAGCCCTGCACTTTTGCCCGTTCCAGGGTTAGGGTGATGTTAAAACAGTCTTTTTCTTAATTACATTATTCAGTCCATTAACATTCCAGCTGGCTATTTTTAGATCCGTCTATCCATGTGGGAATTACACTTAGTGCACCAACTCACATGTAGAGATAAACAAACCTACACAATCCTGTTGGACTTCTTTATGTGGAGAATTTAAATGGAGCCAAATTTGGCTTCATGGAGGGAAATTCTGCTTAAGCAACAAAGTTAGTGGAGCTTCCTTTAAAGTACTTCATCCTACGGACACTGGAGAGGTTTAAGCTTGAGAACTATTCTTGTTGTTTGTGTCACTTCCACACTGAAGCTGTTTGTCACCTGTTGTATCCATGTGTATAAATGCCAGACTCTTTCAGAATGATGTTTATTATTACAGACAGACCAATAAACCAAAAACTCGAACTTAAAGTGTGTTTTGAAGGGAAAGATTTAATTCACTACCTACTTCCTCCGACCTCTGCTGCTCTTGGGAAAAATTCCTATTCATACAAAATGATGGAGAGACTGCAAAGCCTATATTAAACACTTCTTCAACACAGCGCCACAGTTAAAGACCTTGAAAACACAAAGGAAATTAAAATACATTACATTTTGGACTTCTAATATTTTAATTTTATTATTTTTATTGTTATTGTGTTCTTGTATTCCGCCATCATCATCACCCGTCATCCATCTCTGGCACTCTTCTGTAGTTAGATGTTGGTCTTTCAGCTCCCTAAATTACACTTTCCAAATAAATTGGATTAAAAAACATCTCAAAAACTCAAACTCCATCTGGAACTTCATTTCTCATCATATCTTTTCACATTTGGGTAGCTTGGACTTTGTTCTTCTCTGCAACTACAATATTCAGAAAATCCCACTGAAACTCTCAAACTTTCATCAACAAGCTCTTTTGGCATAGTCCTTAATCTATAAACACAACTTTTCTCCACAAAGGTTTTATATTTGGAACAACTGTAACACTCTTTACAAGTCGCTGTTCTTTGAAAACTGGTTTAATAATGGTATTCTTCTGCTAAGTCAACTATTCAATAACGCAGGCTTATTATACAATTACTCAGAGTTCCTATCCGGATATAACATCCCAGTATCCCCAAGGGAGTTTTGTATTGTTTTTGATGCCATACCTCTCCTCTGTCCATGTTGTTTAGAAATACCACTGCCTCCCCACTCCTGTTCTTGTCCCGCTCTGTCCTGAGAGACTCCTTTAGGTCAAATTTGTTTCTCCTCTTGTAAAGGTGTGAATGCCAAGATTAGGTCTCTTTTTCAAGAGCCACTTGTCTCCATTCCTCCTTCCATTTCTTTCTGGTCTAATTTTGTCAAGGACATTGACTGGAAAAAAAAGTTTGGTGTTTGCCACAAAAATTCCTCCTTACTAACAAAGGGAAGGGAATTTTATTTAAGCTAATTCATAGATTCTACCCTGTTAAATGCTTCCTTCAAAATATAAGAGGGATATAGATACTCTTTGCTCCTTCTGTAAGATCGCCCCAGAGACCTGCTCACATCTACTCTGGTCTCGTACCTCTACGCAGATTTTGTGGAAAGATATTGCTGTTTTCATCTCTAAGAACATCTTATCAAATTTTGTGCTTTTTTACCAAAATGTGTTATTTGGTTACACTGACTTTAGCAGGAAAGACTCGAATGCTTTTTACCTTATTAATCTGATTTTACTCCTCGCCAAATGCCATATCCATAAATGTAAGTTTTCAAGCAAGGAACCTCACTTTCTCACTTTTAGGAAAGAAATTGAACTCTATGTGAATACAATTTGCTCCTCTCACAACAAAAAAAGCTTTAAAAACTGTAAATGTTTGTACTATATTTAATGTCATGGTTTAATTATTCAATGTCACTGTATCTCTCGCTTTTTTCCTTTTCTTTTTTTCTTTAATTTATTTTTATTTCCTTTTCTTCTCTCTCCTTTTAATGTTGATATGTATCTTGGTTGTTTAATTTGACACGCCGTTCCATTGTAATATAATTTTGTCTCCTCCATAAAGTTCTGAGAAAAAACTGGTCCTGCTTCCGGCTTCAGCTCCTGAAGTTGTCGTTTGTTCAAACACTCTTCTGTCAGAGGAAGTGACGTCAGCCGGAGCCGCGGTGCGGACTGCGGGGACTCCGAGCGCAGAACCATCCGAACCGAAGCGAGCGGAGAGCGGGGAGAGCAGCGCGGGAGCAGCTGTATGGCGGCGGCAGTTTCTGCGGTACGATCCGAAATGTGCCTGGATGGAAACACGAAGCTAAGCTAATGCTAACAGCAGGGACCCTCGGCGCGTGCTCCGTAACACAATCGGTTCGACACCACAGACTGACCGGAACCGACCGCAGAGGTCGATTAATCGATCAGCCGCTGATCGGTTCTCTGTGATCAACTGTGTGCGCGCGGCTCAGCTAGGCTAACTGTTAGCACGGAAGTTCTGGACGGTTCTGCTAGCTGCTAATGCTAAGCTAACAACCTAGGAGGGTTAAAGTGCCAACTTACCGTCCACGGTGGTAGTTTCGCTCACCTGTACTGAGAAGGTGGTTCACTTCTAACCTGAGTGTATCACTGTGGGAACTGATCATCACCTGTACGCAGGTGAAGTTCCACATTAGAAATGAACACATGAAGATACAGGTGTGTTATTCTAAAGATGCTGATGATCCTGGAGTAGCAGACCTGTTCGTACCTGCTCACCTGAGATCAGGTGAACTGAGTGTCCTAAAAAAATCAAAACCACAAACGAGGAAAATGCGGCACACGAACCAACACCGCAGTCCCCGAATTTGACAGAACGCCACAGACTGAGCAGCAGGTACACCGTTGCCTCGACGACCTCCTCCTCTGTTTCCACTGCTACTGTTTGATGTACACTACGCTGATCCAGGTCACCTGTTACAGCACTCTGAATAGAACATGATCATCACTCAATCAGGTTGCTGGTGTGGTTGGAGCTGAGTGTGAGTCTCTGTGGCTGTTCAGCCTGACCTCACCTGCGCAGGTGAAGGTCTCACCTGTGTGGCTGCACTCGTACCGATGATGATAAAGTTTGTGTTCAGCTTGAAGGAAACAATAAAAACCCACGCAGAAGAAGAGTCGTTAAGTGGAGGTTTGTTTAGCTCTGTGAGTGGAGGCGGGGCATCAGCTGTGTCTGAGGTGATGTCACAGGCTGATGGGTATGGGTGAAGTTTAGGATGGGTGCAGCCTCTGACAGCGTGAAGAGAACAGCTGTGATTGATCGTCTGTGCGATTGATCGCTAATCAGTCAGTATTGATCTCTGACAGGGAGGGCCGGCTCTCATCATGGAGAATGGACAGAGCACCACCACCAAGCTGGGGCTGCCACCGCTCACCCCCAACCAGGCGGAGGCGCTGCAGAAGGTCTATAAACACACACACACACACACACACAGTGTATACACGTGCTGTTGTGACTGGCGAGCTGTGATTGGCTGTTTGTGTGCAGGCGAAGAAGTACGCAATGGAGCAGAGCATCAAGAGCGTCCTCGTCAAACAGACTCTGGCTCAGCAGCAGCAGATCACCAACCTGCAGGTATCCTCACAGGTGTGCTCAGGGGGCGGGGCGTCAGAGGGAACAGTATAGGTAACAGCAGTCACACGGTGGGAGTCAGACCCGCTCACCCAGGTGAGCTGAAGCATTAATCGGGCAGCCACTGAGGAGAGTCTGATATTGATTATTAGTTTTGGATTCATCACATCATGGAGCCGTCATGGTGTCAGAAAATATTTTATTGATACAAAACTTTCACAGAAAGGCAAAAAAAGACTCACAAAGATCAAACACACACGAGGAACGTGATGCAAATGAAACCTTGATTTAAACTTTATTTAACCTCCTGAGACCTGAACTCTTCCACGGCAGCATTTTTAATTTCTCTTTGATATTCGGGCTGATTGGGGCCCAAATTACCAGATTTTTTTTTTAACCTTATTTTTGTTTTTAAGAAAAATCAGAGCCACATATGAGGATCTTCATTTAAAATGTCGATAGAACAGTAGCAGCATAACGTCCTCGTAGGTGGAAATCAGGCCCATGTAGAGCAAAGTTGAGTATTTTGGTCTAAATACCCAAAATGTGACGTCCACATGTGGACGCAGGTCCCAGGAGGTTAAACGTGTAATCTGACAGTTGTGTTGCACTGAGTCAGCAAACACGCGCTTTCTCTCCATTGGTTTCACGCGTCGCTCAAACGTCACGTCATCAGCGCGTCTGTGACGTTTAAGTCAGCGCGACAAGTCTGGTGACGTGGTTACAGAACGATGGGCTGCTGCGATGGGTCAAAACTGAGCCCCGCCCACGGCCGCCCCCGGTTCTCACCTCCCTTGGCCTCACCGCTCTGACGAACACTTGTGCTGACTCGTGTTTTTCATCTGCAGTGGGTGCAGACTTGGCTCCGCCCCTGTGCTTCATCACACTGAACCTTTTCTCTCATGTGTGTCTCAGATGGCGTCTCTGACGATGGGTTTGGGCGACGCTCTGTCTCCTCTGCAATCGGTGAGTAACAGCGTGCAGCGCCTCCTTGCTGAGCGGCGAGCTGCTGGCTCATTCTTCTTCTCTGCTTTCTGTGTGTCTGTTCAGGTGGCGGCTCAGCGGCAGAGAGCGCTCGCCATCATGTGTCGCGTGTACGTTGGATCCATTTACTACGAACTCGGAGAGGACACCATCAGGCAGGCCTTTGCCCCCTTTGGACCAATAAAAAGCATCGACATGTCCTGGGACTCTGTGACCATGAAGCACAAGGTCACACACACACTCACATAAAACACACACACCACACTCTGAGGTGGGCGGGTCTAACCGTTGCCATGGCACCTGCAGGGCTTCGCCTTCGTGGAATACGAGATGCCTGAAGCGGCGCAGCTTGCACTGGAGCAGATGAACTCAGTTGTCCTCGGAGGACGGAACATCAAGGTGAGTCCAGCTGACGATGAAGCCCCGCCTCCACTCTGAGCCGGGTTTTGAGTTTCCCTTCTCGCTGTCTCGCAGGTCGGGAGGCCCAGCAACATCGGCCAGGCTCAGCCAATCATCGACCAGCTGGCGGAGGAAGCGCGTGCCTTCAACAGGATCTACGTGGCGTCAGTGCACCCCGACCTCTCCGACGATGACATCAAGAGTGTGTTCGAGGCCTTTGGAAAGATCAAGTCGTGCATGCTGGCCCGCGAGCCGACCACGGGCCGGCACAAAGGCTACGGCTTCATCGGTGAGCGGCCGATCGGCTCCGCCGCGGCGTGAAAGCTTTAACAGGGAAGACGCAGAGGGGTGTGGACCCTCTCAGGTGCACCCAGGGTCAGTGACCCACCCCCTGCGGTTCTCATGTTTGGATTCACCAATCTGTTTCCATAGCAACTCAGCCTGACGGGTCGACTTCATTTTCAGGGTTTGTTAGGCTCCGTTAGCCCTGTCAGCTGACGGGGAGCCCAGGTGTGACACCTGAACACCTGGGCTCCCTGTCAGCTGACAGACAGCTCTGTTCAGGGTGGGGCTCTGTGTGATGTAGGCGGGACTTCTGACGGCGGTCTGCTCATTTCCTGCGTGCAGAGTATGAGAAGGCTCAGTCGGCCCAGGACGCCGTCGCCTCCATGAACCTGTTCGACCTGGGTGGTCAGTACCTGCGCGTGGGCAAAGCCGTGACGCCACCCATGCCCCTTCTCACACCAACGACGTCTGGTGGACTGCCCACTGCCGCCGCCATGGCTGCTGCCGTCGCCACCGCAAAGATCACAGCTCAGGTAACTCAGGGAGCTCCGCCCCCCCCAGAGACAAGGCACAGAGCAACTACTCTAAGAAGTGTAGTAGATGCAGTGCGGTAGTTTTTCTGCCTGTATGTGCACAGAAGCAGTGGTATGTAGTGTTTCCTGTAGTACAGGATTGTAGTGTTTGAGACAGCTGTACTGATTATGTTCTGTGGTGCGTTCAGGAGGCGGTGGGAGCATCGGTGCTCGGAGCGCTGGCCGGACCGGCGCTCCTGTCCCAGCAGCTCGGAGGCCTCCCTCAGGCTGTCATGGCCCACCAGGCTCCAGGTGTCATCACAGGTAGGAACACCTGAGCCCTGTCAACACATACACACACAGGCTCCACCCACATGACATCGCATCTTGAGTTTGGGGCAGTCTTCTCCGCCCACACGTCTCACCTCTCTTTATTTTGAAGCCAGGCTCATCCAAAGATGCTAACCAATAAAAGGTGCTCCAACAGGTAACACTTCCTGCTTCCTGTTTCAGGTGTGACCCCAGTGAGACCTGGTGTGCCTCAGGTGGGCTTGGTGAACCCTGTGCTGGCCACGCCCCCAACACAGACGGTTTCCTTTGGTGCTGATCCAAAGAAGAAAGAGGAGGAGGAGCGTCAGCAGGAGGTGCAGCAGGACGGCGCCATGGAGCCGCTGAGCGACCAGGAGCACATGAGCATCAGCGGTAGCAGCGCCCGACACATGGTGATGAGGAAGCTGCTGCGCAAGCAGGAGGTACGCTTCAGTCCCGCCCACCCCTAATGGCGAATCGTTGGTTCTAGTGGTCGTGACCTGTTGTATGTCCTTTCAGTCCACCGTCATGGTTTTGAGGAACATGGTCGGGCCCGACGACATCGACGACGACCTGGAGGGCGAGGTCACCGAGGAGTGCGGGAAGTTCGGCCAGGTGAAGCGAGTCATTATCTATCAGGAGCGTCAGGGAGAGGAGGACGACGCCGAAGTCATCGTCAAGATCTTTGTGGAGTTCTCGGAAGCTGCCGAGATGAACCGAGCCATCCAGGCGCTGAACCACCGCTGGTTCGGCGGCAGGAAGGTGGTCGCTGAGGTTTACGACCAGGAACGCTTCGAGAACGGGGACCTGTCGGCGTAGAGCACGCTCGTCGGGGAGCGTAGCATAGCGGGCTCTTTCTAACTTGTCTGTTTTTCATCGGTGTTTGTCTCCAGGGAAACGTCTCCGCGTCCTCTGCTCCAGTGTTTCTGTGCAGGGTCAAAGGACGAAGCAGCTGCTTCTCATGTTTCAGCTGCTCGCCGCCTCGCCGTTTCTTACAGCCACTGCTTTCCTAACATGATGTCCTTCGTTTCCATGGTAACAGAAACGGGACACAGAGGGCATCAGTTAAAAATGTACCATGAGCTCCGTGCTAACGTTAAGAGCTCAACTGATTTACATGGTCAGATATCAGTTTGTCAGCAGTTTCATTGAGTGATGTCACGCTCGACTCCACCCACTGTAGATGGTGCCAGTGGAGCCGCCCTGCTGGACAAACTGTGTATTGACGAGTTTCATTTACTGAATTTTTTTTTTTTTTAAAAAAAGGATTTTGGATTGGCGCGATTAGAAACGTTGTCGATCGCGTTCTACTAACTGCCACGCCCCTTCTCCTTAGAACACTGGGCAGGGCCGCGGCACCGACACCCTGAGAGTGAGGCGTAAAGATTTGGTTTGAAACACACAAAAACAATCACCAGCAGGAAGGAAAAACTGGACCTGACATCCAGGAACCAGGACCCACAGATCAGTAAGTTGAACAGTAACTTCCTGTCTGGGTTCTGACCCAGTTACACGGCTGCGGTGCCTTCAGGGACCTTCTGTACAATGGTGAGCCGGCCGGAGCTGAAACATGAAGCAACTGTGGACCAGATGTGACGTCACCTGTGTTCTTCCAGATGTTCAGCCTTTTGTTCACAGCCTCACAAGAGAAACACCTGGAGTCTAACAAACTGACTAAACCTGAACGCACCACAGCATCATCCACTCTCAGGCCGTCTCCCGCTTGTCCCGAGGAGTCACATGATCCCGGTCTCTGAGCAACTTTGAGCCTCAGAGGCGGTGCTGCGTTCAGGTGCTCTTCAGGGTTTGAAGGTCAAACACCAAAACTTGTGAATAAAACTTTTGTTTGTGTGAAGCTGCTCTCTGATTGGTCGGCAGTTGAGTGCAAAAATCTGTTTGATAATAAAAGATAATAGAAAGCAGACGAGGTGTTTGAGTACAGGAAGTAATCAGCTGTCTGCTGAACGTTCAGGAAAGACCTGAGCTCACCTTCATCACTCTGGAGGAAGAAGCATGGGCACGGACAAAGCCTGCACTCTGTCTGAAGGCCACCAGGGGGCAGTAGCTTTGGTAAGGCAGCTTTCTGACCTTTGACCTGTGTAAAAACATCCTGCTGAGGTTGTGGGCTCAGTTTTACGTTACACTGTGGCTGTATCCCAATTCAGGGTCAGCAGCCTTAAAGGCCGCATTTTAAGGCCGATTACGTCACAGCGGCGCGCCGAAGGCTGTCCCAATTCAAAGGCTGCTCGAAATGCAGCCCTCAAATGCGTCCTTCATTTCCCTGAATTTTAAGGATGTGGCGGTGTAGACTTCGTGGCCCAACATATCCCAGAATGCATAGCGCGGCGGTGGGTGTGGATAATTTTGCCGAAAAGAAAACAGCAGATCAGGGGCGGCCGAAGAGTAAACTTTAAGTAAGTACTGAATATTATGTCACTTATTTATGTGCAAATGTTTAATAACGAAGACCATTAAACATTCCTGTTGGCCACATGTCGGCAAAGTCATGTGACATTAGTGACGTTTGTACTAACTTGGTTTTAAAGCCTTTACTTTAAAATATACACCGTCCAATAGCTGAGCTTAATCCTACAGAGAATGATCAAAGCTCATGTAGAAACAAACAAATGAACAAAAGATTTTCTCCTTCATTTCTGTCAAACACAGCTGTATGACACGTTTCCAGCTGTTAGTATCATGGTTGCTAGGCAACCTGGGCAGCGCAATGGACGCTAGACCGTCCCATCTCACAAGCCTTGCAGTTCCGGCCTTGGCGGTCTTTAAGTACGCGGCCCTTGAGGATCGTTGAGGCTGCGTACTTTAAGGCTGCAGACCCTGAATTGGGACACAGCCTGTATTTCAAAGTGGTGAAGCTGCATACTCATTGGGTAATGGCCAGGAACCCACTCACTCCAAACCCTCGACAGGTGGCAGTCACAGGGCGTTAGCCAGTGAGCATGTGGGTTCACAATCAGGCCCGCCCCTCTTCGCCACCTTCAAGTTTTTTCAGCCAAATTGGCGACCTTGGAAGCACCCATAAATGGGTGACATCACTGAGGCCAGGCCGTATAAAAGACTGTAACATTACCTGCTGCCATGTTTGTTTCCTGTGGTGACCATATTTGGAGGACTGGGTGGAGTTGTCAGCCAGTTGTCTGCTAGCTAGCTTAGCATACACATACACCTTATCAGTAACATCCAATCAGAATCCTTAAATGGTCACAGCAGCAATCTTATTGGTCAGATAATCTCATTAAACACAGTTCAGAGGTCTAGCTCAGTTTCCAGTTAGCTGAGGTGAAGTCTAGCAGACACGTAGCAGCTACAGTGAGTTTTGTCACCATCCACCTATCAATGCAAAGAGGTGAGTTAAAAATGTGTCCTCCCTTCTGCTGAATCCAGTCATTGTGCAGTTGTTATGAAGGGGAAATTATCTACAAAGGCCAAAACATTTGAATTTTAACACAGGAGTGTATGAGGACTGACTCAGTGCTCCCTCTGCTGAATGCTGGAGGAACTGCAGGCTCAAGATCGGTTTGTTAGTTTACCCTCTGATGTGTTCAGGCTGTTTATCTCTCAGCCAATCAGCTTTCACTAAATAATTACGATGTTGTGCTCCCATTCACAGCTGCATGTCACCAATCATAAAGTCATTCATGACATCATCTCTGATGTCACTGTAGTCACGTGAGCTGAGCTGATGCTCCTCAGGGCCAACACCTGATACATTCATTAAATCCTGACAAAAACAAACATTAAGGCCAAATAAATGAGTAATCACTCATCAATAACCACAAATGAAAGGCTTTAAAAGCTTTTATTTTGAAGTCTCATCTCAGCGGAAGTGATCCATCTTATTGTGAAAGCAGCTTTGACGCTGGGTACGGCGGCTCGCAGGGTCCAGTCCGCGCGCTCCCGCTGACGATGGGCGACGTCCTGTGCGAAGAGCTCGAGGATTTGGTCCACTTCTCAGTGCACGACCTGCCGGCACGAGGTTATGTCGTCATGGAGGAGATCCGACGTCAGGGGAAACTCTGTGATGTCACGCTCAAGGTGAGCGAGGCGGCGTGCGAGGCTGACATTAGCCTTCAAGCTAACAGAGTGAGCTAAGGCATGCTAACAAGCTAACGCGGATTATCAGCTAGTGACGTCATGGGCTGAGCTATGAACTGCCTGGGAGCCCCAGGGGCAAGGCGGCGAAGCGGCTTCCGGTCAGAGCGGTCAGTTCTTAACACCAGGGCTGGAGGTCAGGTGTGTAATCCACCTGGAGGAAGGTAGAAGTTGTGTGACGTACGCAGTTGAGCTCAGGCAGCACAGAAGGGGCGGAGCCTTTTAGCAGCGTTGTGGCGTAAGCAGGTGAGCAGACACGTGATTTCTCTTTGTTCCAAACATGTCCGCCAGGTGAGGGAGGGGCGGGACCTTAACCCTAACCCCTACAGCAGGAAGAAGCTCTCAGTGGCTCCACCCCTCCCAATCAGGGCCTGGCTCTATGGTAGCAGGTAATGGAGCGTGGTGCTCATTGTCAGCATCACATGATACAGGTGTGCTTCTGAGGTGTTCAGGTGCAACCGAGAAACGTTTTCACCTGCGCTGCGTCCTGTGCCTGCAGCTTGGCTGGTTGGATGAAGGAATCTGATTGGCTGCGCGTTAAGCTGAAGCTAGTGGAAACATCATCGATGGCGTCAGCTGACAGAGTTATGCTGAACCCTGAAATCTACTTCCTGTTGAAACGCGTGTGTTTCAGAGGGTGAAGGAACGCAATCACCTTGTTGTTTTACCTGATAAGTGGGGGGTGGGGCTTGCTGTGAAGCCAAAGTCTTATTGGCTGACTAGCGAGGAGTGGTTCTGTGAGTGTTTAAGGGCACATCCCTCAGATGTAGCTGTTTTCAGTTTTCTATTATCGTCATAGCAATAGGTGAGTAACAGGTGAGTGTGTTAATCAGTGTGTCTGTCCTCAGGTCGGGGATCACAAGTTCAGCGCTCACCGGATCGTGTTGGCGGCCTCCATCCCGTACTTCCATGCCATGTTCACCAACGACATGGTGGAGTGTAAACAGGATGAGATCCTGATGCAGGGCATGGACCCCAGGTACGCTCACACCTGTACAGATGTCTGAGAGCAGAATTATAACTGTCAGACTGTAACTCAGTTTAAGAATATAATCCACCCACTGTTATCATCTTCAGTGCCCTGTACCAACACAGAGCAGCTACCTGAACGCTACTCCAACAGAGATCGATCATCTTGTTAATAATTTCACCTCCTCACTACGTACAACTCTGGATACTGTAGCTCCTGTGAAAACTAAGGCCTCTAATCAGAAGTACCTGACTCCGTGGTAGGGCTGGGCTATATCATACCGTTCACAGTAACACTGGTGTAATGTTGGGCAACGATAGGAAAATGAAATATGGCGATAGAATATGGGTAAAACGCGCATGCGCAGTGCCTTTGTTTTCATACGCACATGGAGGCGACGCAGAACGAGAAGGGCGAAAGCGGATCGTTGAATGAAACGATGAACCTGAACTGGTTTGTAAGAATGCTGCAGCTTCACTGGTGTGGAACTGGTTTAGCTTTCGTCCGTCAGATACACAACAAAGCACTATTTTTGGTAGCGCATGCTAGCGGGCCGTCATTATTACCGTGTTGTTTGGAAAATACGGCGCACTTAAAATCAACCCTTTGATTTTTCTGAAAGTCGACAGAGCCCCTTATAATCCCGTGTCCTTATGTATGAACTCTGGTTGTGTTACTGACCTCGAAACGATTTTATGTGCACGGCGCTCGAAAATCTGTCATGTTTCAGTACGACTTTGCTGAGCTACGAAGCCGCACCGCTTGATGGATTGTTGGAGCATTACGGCTATCGTAGGCGGAGCCTCGCGGAGTGATACGTGCTGTGCTTCAACATAATGTTACCGTATTGTGTGTGTATGACCTCTTTTTAAGTGTTGTGGATGTTATACATGGTTATGCTGAGGATACGTCGGCCAGTTTCCACTGGAAATGCTTTTTGGTTAAACTGTCAGCGAGGAGTTTGCACTGTTACATTTTTATATAACGTTAATGCAGATAAAACAGCTGCTTGTTGAAGTGAAAATACATTGATGGTTTTTTGCACTAATAAAGTTGTGGAGTTGTAAAGTATTTTGTCTAGTGTCAATTATATCGTCAGTTATATCCTTATCGCAAATTTTCAAATATATATCGTGATAAATATTTTTGGTCATGTCGCCCTGCTCTACTCCGTG